ATGCATTACCAGGACGATGCTATACGAGAAAGATCTATGTCGGGGATAGGATGAACTGTTTTTGACACTTCTTGCATGGTATGGTTTACCACGAATTACTTTTGGCTACCGAGCGTATTTTCTTCGTCTTTTCTGTTGATTTTTTTTTGTTTTATTTGTCTGCCTCTTCTTCTTTGTTTTATTTTTATTGTCTTTGTATTCTCTAAATTCTTATTCTTCAACATCTTCTACTATTTTTCTTTTGCTTTTATTAGCCGTTTTTATCTTCTGTTTTTTACTTCTTCTTAGTCATTTTTGTCTTATCCAAACTTTTTTTTCTTTCTAATTTTTGTTTGTCTTTTTCGCATCTTTACATTCTTTTTTTTATTTTCTTTTTCATCGTCGAGTTTTCATCTTCTTATACTTTATTTTCTTCATCTACTATTTTTGTTCTTCTTTTTCTTTCAGTTTTCTTCTTCAACTTTGAGTTCTTCATCTCCTTATCATTTTTCTTCTTCACTATTTTGTGTTACCCATCTTGATCTTATTGTTAATGGTCTAGGACTTTTTGTTCATTTTTTCCTCATTTTTTACGTTTTCGTCAACTCTATGTTCTTCTATATGTTTTAATTTATCTTTTTTCTCTTCTTTTTCTTCTTCGTTTTTCCCTTTTTCCCTTTTTCTGTTTTTCCTCTGCGTCCTGCTAGAGTATTTAGCCTCTCTTACATTATTTCAAAATAAACAGAATTCAGAAAACCATATTTATAACAAACAAAAAAACAAAGGACTTAAAACATGTTCATTAGACAATGAAGATAATTTATGATATGTTGACATGGTTTTAATCACGTTAAGTAAGGAAGAATAACTGACAACACAAAATAACAACATATAATCGAGGAACACTACTATACTGGTACTGAAAAACGGAAAAAACAATAGTACAAATCGAAAATTAATTTATAAAAATAAAGACGGTAAACAAAACAACGAAAAACCGACCAATGTAGAAACCAAACCACAATTGAGCTTAAGATACATTTTATAAAGTAATATGTTTATATATAGCTCTCAACTTAAGCTAGGATTTCCCATATCACATATACATTTTTTTTCCAGATAATCTCGCTCAACAGATAATTCGATTGAAATTATCTTAATATTATCAAAATAACTAAAAGTGGCAGCAAAATTTTTATACAAACTAAAAAATAAATTAATTAATTAAGGATATTTAAAATTTTATTAACCAATAAAGGGGAATTAGTTACCTAGATTGAATGAGAAACCTTATAGCGAAAAATTTACTTCGCATATATTATATATGATATGATTTTAAATGTTTTTTTTATTAAATTCCAATTTTTAATTTTTCGTTATTTTCTATTTGAAATATTTTTTGATTAAATTTCGATTTTTAATAATTTTTATTAAATTTAAATGTTTTTTTATTAAATTTCGATTTTCAACAATTTTTTTTTATTAATTTACGATTTTTAATATTTTTATTTAATTTACGGTTTTTAATAATTTTTAATTAATTTACGATTTTTGATAAATTTTTTATTAAATTTAATTTTAAAAAATATAAAGAGGGATAAATGGTAATTAGCCACCCTAGGATTGAATGAGAGAGCTTTAACTCAATTTTACTTTGCTTATAATATATATGATACCAAGTTTTAGTTTCATAAGAAAATCGATCATACCAACGAAGGACATCACTGAAAAAGTTGCCGAAAACACTTTGTCAAAACTAGTTCCAACATTGTGCACTTGGTCTATTAGTATAGACTAGCAATGTTAAATCCCTGTCGTGGTTTGGTTTTGATACTGGTTATTGGGACAACAACTTGTTTGGTAATAGAAAAATAGCGACCAAACTTGATTCATTCAGTTCTTTTTGCTGAGTTTTCCTTAAGACTATGTATAATATTTTTTTTTTTTTTATATTATTTTTTTTCTTCCACCTAATAATTCAACATCAGAAAATCTTTTAACAAAAAAGTAAAATTTAACATCCACTTAATATTTACTACTCTTTACAATAATTTGGTTAATAAAATTCAACACTCTATTTTACTACTTTTATTTCATATTTATATTTTCTTCTATGTTTTTGTTTTTGATTATAAATTACGAATAATTCTCAATAAAATCAAATTTAAATACTTTAAATTTAATTCTAAAAAATAAATTTTCTTTCATATTTTACATTTTTAACTACGATTTTTTGTATCTAAATCAATAAATTAATTATCTATTTATGGAGGACAAATTTAAGAAAAATATAATATATATTAAAATAATTGAGTTCAAATAATTAGAATGAATAAAAAAACTAAAATCATTAACAACCAATAACAATACAACAAGTGTCTATATCTCTATCTTATTCTACACTATTTTCTTAGCCAATTTTCGCATCCTACATAGCCCGGTTGTTTATTTGAATCTTTTATTAATTTTTATTTTTAAGAGGCACGCAACTCAAAAACCGATCGATTAGAGAGAAGACACGAGTACCATATCTTGCTACCCTCCAGAACTGCATGGTGTGGTTCATATATGGGTTGCCATCAGTGTACCCATTTGGAATTCTTATCCTCGTTACTAGCGGAATAGGAATCAGCATTAATAACGCTTTTCATCGTCATTTATTTTTTATACTGCGATCAACCAAAACAACGATTAGTAATAATTGTTGTTTTGGTAGTTGTGGTCGTATTTGTGGTTGTTCTTGCTATTACGACTTTGACTTTATTCCATGCGAGAGGTTTGTTGAGGCTGGTGACTAGTATTGCATGTTATATATGCAATATCATCATGGTATCTGTTATGGTAAGTTTTCTCCTTTTGTTTATCTATTTTATTAATAAATAAATAATAATAAAAGCTTATCACATTGTAATTATATTATGGCATATTTTTCTCGACGAGTCCGCCGTTGCGGATCGTTGCCGATCTTTTCACCTCGTTCTTCGCCAGTGAATTTCTTATTCATCTGTCTTCCATCTTCTCCTTCCCATTATGGATTTACTCAACCCAGATTCATCAAGTTTAATAAAAGATTCTGAAGAGTCGGCTGGTCTTGTCGCTGCAATTGGAGATAGCTCCGACGATAAATCTTCTAACTCTCCGGACCCCCGCTGGCCCTATCTGAATCGGTGGACTGCGACCACCATCACCAGCTCTCCAACCTCAAACGCTCTTCCTCCTGCCATCAAATCATCTTCGGAAACCTTGATTCCTCCACCGTCCCCTACTTCTCTCGCGCGCCCAATTACAATTGTGGTTAATCCTCTTCAATCGACGGTCGTATGCTCTGCAGAAAAATCGTTGATCGAAGGTATCCAGTCCACAATTAATCTGACAGAGTTAGCCCCTGCTAATCTCAGTAAGGAAGTTGTCAATGAAGAACTTCTCAGCCATTGTCCCATTCAATCTCCTGCTCTAAAAGGTGCATGGGCTAAGAAGCTAAACTTCTCAATTGCCTCATAATCACATCAAGCTCCTCCAATTTCCAGAGAGATGTAGCCTTCTCTATTTGTCTCAAAGCCTAGTAGAAAGCAGCAGGCTCGTGAACAGCAGGTTTTCATTAAACCAAAACCAAAACCTGTGGCTGTAGAGGATGATATCCGGTTTCCATGGGCAGCAAAAATGAATCCAACAACAAGGAATCTCTACAGGGCAACTGAGCCAGAATACCTAGAAGATGAGACTCCTAAGAATAACTATTAGGAAGCTTAGTGCATCAAATTATCTATTCCATATACCAGATGAATCCACTAGGTCTTGGGTTCTCCAGCGAGGACTTTGGCATGTTGATGGATGCCTAATGTTTGTTGCTTCTTGGACCCCAGAAGTTTCCCTTGCTATTCCTGAGATTAAAACCATTCTTGTTTGGGTAACCTTGAAGAACATACCCAACATCTTATATTCTATCCCAGAAATAAGTCACATTGCATTGGGTTTAGGTGCTCCTATGGCAACTCACAAGCCTCGGTTGGATCCCATTCTCATGGGTGAAGCAAAAATCTTAGTTGAAGTTGACTTGTCTAAAGCTTTTCCAACCCGAATAGCTGATTTGAATGGGTTTATTTCAATGGTTGATGTGGAATATGCATGGTTGCCTTCTAAATGCGGTAGATTTGGTCAATTGGGACACAAGATTAAGCGTTGCTTACAAGAGGAAAACGTCTCAAATGTAGTTGATAACACAACTAAAGAAACTGTTTTGATGGTTGACTTGGATGTGGCCGGAGTCTCCAACTCTGCCCCGATCTCTGCTCTAAATCACTCAAGCTCAGCTCCTGCCATAAGTATTGACATACCTGCTACTAACAACCTCACCGTTGATCTAGTTAAAGATTCCATCATGGAAGCTATAAGTCCGGTAACTACAGCTTCGACAATTGAGAATGTGACTGTCCCTACAGCATATCAAGCCCCTCTTTCAACTACCAGCAATAATGTCATTGAGTCTTCTTTTTTGGAGGCTGCTCGTTCTATGAATGCTCAAGCAAAATCTACTGTCCAGAGGGAAAGTATGAGATTAGCTGAGCTTGATTTGGGTTCTAATAAGTTTGCCTCTTTGATTTCTCATGAAGAAGGAAAAGACTCGTCAGATTCAGAAAATGATTCGGATTCGATGGATCTTATGACACTTTCGGGGAAGAGAATTCTTCGAGAAAGACCGGTGAAACCATCAACAAAGGCTAAGGAGATGAATTGGCAGTCCACAGGTCGTGGACGTGGAAACCGAAGACGTGGAAATCGAGGTGGTCGCGGCTAATTGTCTTTTATCCTGAGCACTAAAGTCAATCAAAGCGGAAGATTTGATTGTGTATGGGTTCATTTTATGTACTGTACACTTTTTCTCTTCTTTTTATCCGCTTTCTAAAAACTGTATGACTTTGGTCATAACTTGTAATGGTTCTTCTTTCTTAAATAAAAGTCGGTTAAAAAAAAAAATTATATTATGGCATATAAATGGAGACTAAGGTTATTAAAGCCAAGAGTGAGGAGCATATGTCTTTCTTGGTAGTGCTTGCAATGTTTGCGAGTGCAATCGTTTGGAGCATCTACGCATTATTACCTCTCGACATGTTTATGTTTGTATTTATCAAAAAAGAAAAAAGACATGTTATGTTGTGATTGTTTCTTTTTACCTTAACATCAGTTATTATACATTAAATAGTTGATTTTCTATTTATACTTGAAACTAGGTACTTATTTGGCATGCACCTTGGGTGGACAGAGAGATTTCATTAAATAATATTATAGGTAAACAGAGATTTTGGGGGTTTGAAACAAAAAAAGAAATTTGGGGCCACTGATTTTTTTCATTAAAAAAAATTTGGGTCTAAAAGAGTTTTTTCGAATCTCAAAAACTTTTGGATCTGAAAATGTTTTTTTTGAGTCTCACCAGGCCAACTGAGCAAAAAAATTGGAGCTGAAAGAGTTTTTACTTTTCGGTTTTATGAAACTTTTTGTTAAAAAAAAATTTATGAGCTGGATTTGGTTGAAAATTTTGGGGGTCATAGGCAAATGTTTCAATGAGCTTGGCCCAGATCAAGCTCTGGGTAAACAATCAATTTAGTAGTTTTGATATCATGTTAAACTTCATCTTTAAAGTAATCATTATTTGTATAAATTAAGTTTATACATTTTTTATTTATTCATTTTTTTAGCCTCAAATTTTTACTTGTTTTGGCGAAATTGACTATCTTTGTCGATTTTTATCTTTCTCGTAAGCAGGGACATGAAATCGTTTTATCTGATTATATGTAATTAACCAATCCTTTTTACTAGCTTTAGACCATATTTAGTTTCATCTCTGAATTTGTCATTATATATACATATGTTTAAAGATAATTTTAGTTCTTCGTTTTATTGAACTTTTTCCCTGTTTAACGGAAATTGTCTCTTTTTGTCGGTAATCTTTTATGCAAACGCGGACACAAAATTTTGATATCAGAGCATATGTAATTAAATATCTTTTTGATAGTTTTGATACCATGTTAAGCTTCATCTTTAAAATAGTCATTATTTATATACATTAAGTTTACTCATTATTGTAATTTCTCATTCTCTCTAGCCGGAAATTTTTCATTTTTGTCGGAATTGTCTCTTATTCTTTTCGGTTCTTATTTTCCACGCAAGCGTAAACACAAAACTACCATATCAGAGCGTAGATAAACTATTCTTTTGTTAGCTGATATCATGTTAAGTTTTAAATCTGAAGTAGTCATTATTTTTATACATTATTTTTATGGGTGAGTTTATTTTCATTATCTGTAGTCTGATCTCTCTTCCAATGGAAAGACGATTAAAGCAATAATAAAAGAAAATGCAGACATTATAGCGAAATAGACTACAGATAAAATTTAGAATAAAATGGGCTTGAATGATTCAATTAGAATAAAGTATGATACATCACTTTTAAAATACACGTAGAATAAATGAACGACCTCTTAAAAACATTAAAAAATATCTCATAGGTTAGAAAATAATCTAACGACATATCAACACAAAAATATATATATAATCACTGTAATAGCGACACATCAGTTTTTTCGCTTTACAAATAATAGTGTATATGTTTGTTTTCTTTTCCAGATATCCTATGGGGTATGCATACTACTTGGATTGATCCAATTAGTTGTGTATGCAACATATTACCAGTCTACTCAGAGAATCCTTGCCGCAAGGCAGCTATAGTCTATTGATGAAGTTACTTTCGATGACATCAGAATGATAAGTGGGGTTAAAATTCGAAACAACTCGTTAAACTAAAAATTTCCAATACTTGGGGTAACAATAATCCTAGAAACATAAATAATTTGATCCAGTTAGTTAAAAGAAAAATAGCGACCAAACTTGATTCATTTAGTTTTTTGCAGACACTTTCTTATGTACAATTGTTTTTTTATTTTTCAATGTTTTTTATTTTTATTTTTTTTAACACTCTACATCATCTTCTCTCTTCACTCTAATATTTCAACATCCGCTAAATTTTTAATCTCTACAACTGTTTTGTTTTAACACTCTACGCTACTAATTTTATTTCATATTTATTTTATTATATTTTAATTATAATTGAATAATAATTCTTAACAAAAATAAAATTAAAATACTTTAAAATTATTATTATTTTTTAAAAATATTTGTTTTTCATATTTTATATTTTTAACTATGTTTTTTGTATCCAAATCAAATGAAACAAGTCTCTATTTATAAAAAATGAAGATGCTGAATTTTGGTATAAAATAAAAAGACTAATATATATATCAAAATAATGGAATTCAAATCATTAGAATGAATAAGAAAACTACAATAGTTAACAACTAGTTACAACACAACAAGTATCTTTATCTCTATATTCTTCTACACTATCTTTTTAGTCAATCTTTATATGCCACATAGCCTAATTCTACTCATACATTGTATTCATCATCGACTTTTATTGTTTTCTTTCCACTCATTAACTTTCAACATGTTGAATGTTTTCAACAGAAATTAATACCCCTGATTAAACTCATAAATAATTTGGTGTAGATGGAACTCATTTTGCAAATTCGAAAGGAATGGTGCAGCTAAAAATATGCAGAATAAGATGCGTTTTGAGAAATGAGGAAAGAAAAGTGAAGTGATTTAGAGCAAAAGCGTTTTCAAATTTGAAATCCTCATTAGAAGCTAAGACTATAGTTTTGGTATGGTCAATGTCTAGAAACTTTTGTTATTTAATAGGTAAAGTTTGAGTAGGTGTGGGTATTTTAGAAATCGGGATAGAAAAATACTGGTAAAAGATGAGAACAAGTAATTTAAGAATTGAAAAACACTTCCCAAAGTGTTCCCACTAAAAAAATGGTACAAAATATTCGGGTAATAGAGAACGGGTTCGATAAATTTTAGAATCTATAATCACTTTCCAATTTGGGTAAATATCAATTTTGTGATGGATATTTTGAAAAAATTTGAGAAGTTATGGAAAATTTTAAGAAATTTGGGAAATTATTGATTATTTTTAAACTAGTAATTTGGATATCTTATCTTATTTCTCGTTATCTTTTGGTATTTTTCTCGTACATATTTGAATTAAATAAATAATCCCAGATGAGAAATTATTTAAACGAGAATGAGAACAGAACGAAAAATTTGGAACGAGTATGGTTTGGGACGTGAAACCCTTTCCGACATGCCCAGGCCTGGGTTGAGGATGATGATCGAAGAGGATAAGCAAGATACTGTAAAGATTTCTTATAAAGATTTCTTATAGTAATGATTACAAAATTTCGCAGAGAAAATATATGAAGTCTGAAGACAATGGCTTTCACTATTATATGCATCAATATAATTACAAAAATAACCATTTTCATTTCCTATGTACCAAGATCAAGTTATATTAGTTAATACAAGTTGTTGACATGTAGCTAAGGCCGATTGATATAAAAAAACAGAACCTGTGTATGTTTGACTTTTAAAAGTGGTATTATATTAGCTACTAATATTAATTTGTTTCATAATCTCAATTCAAGTCATAATTTATACACGAATTGTATCTACATATTATTCTTATAATTTTTTCATCAATATAATATTTTAATGATAATATAACTGACTGTATGCCGACTAATTTTTTCATCAACATAATTCCTAAACAAGTCCTCTTACACAAGTATTGCACCTTAGACCTCCTCCTCGTTCTTGGATTGTATGCCGACTAACTTTATGTCCCATGGCTGACGCTCTATTCGTTCTGGTAGAGACATCTTGAGGAGGAGACTTGGATGGCTTGTTGGTGATGGATCCACCATCGACATTTGGAATCAGCCGTGGCTATCCACGTCTCTGCCATTAGCTCCGGTTGGCCCTCCCACGGAACATCAGTCACAGGACACTGCCTCTTCCCTCCTGAATTCCATTTCTAAGGAATGGAATGTTGAAGCTATTCGACAAATATTATCTCAGTATGAGGACCATATTACCAAGCTAATCCCTGCTAAATCCGCATGTGAAGATGCGTTGGTATGGCTTCAGGATAAGAAAGGTCAATATGTAAAATCCATGGTTTGGAGTCTTGGCGCTGCTGACTTGAAGCTGACGTGGAAAGGAGGAATTAAAAGAAGCTGACCTGGCATGAGGTGATTGGTGGATGATTGAAGATTACTTGATGAACAAGAAGGAGTCTTGAAGAAGATTTTGTGGAGATTGTGAAGATCTCAATTAGGAGAAGTAGATATTCACCACTTATCAAATGTGGTGGTATATATACTAGGTTAGCTCTAAGGGTTAGGGTTAGCCGTTTTGAGATATTGAAATCAGCACGAGAAACAGAGCGGTAGTGAGTTCGGGGTTCTTGGTGAGTGATTAGGTTTTTAGAGTTACACAACTATTGTTGTGTTGGGTAGTTAGGAATTGGTCAGTATCAGTTTGCTCGTTGCAAAGTTGTATAATTCTGATTAAACAAGTCTTGAAGAGATTGTTTAAGTGATTCCTAATAAAAGGCAGAACGGTTTCTGTAATTCCTGAGTAATTGCCTGTGTATTCATTCTACTGATTTTACATTTGGTATCAGAGCAAGTTCACCTCCATAGGTGTGCAACCTATTCACAGGTGTTGATCCTGAGGACAGAATGGACACAGCAAAGATTATAGCTGTTCATAAACCGCTACGACTGGATGCAGGAAACTTTGGCCACTGGAAAGCTCGTATGAGACATGTCATCCGAGGAATTGATGAAGATGCTTGGTCGGCTGTTGAAGAAGGATGGGAAGCTCCGGTTGTGACAT